ACAAGACACGCAGGGGCAGGTCAGCTGCGCTGGCGCAGAGGCTCTCAGCGCGCACGGTCTGAGCAAATGGGGGGGCCTGATTTTATTTTGCCTCTCACTGCAGAAGAGAAAAGAAATGATGCCTCTATGCTTTGTAACCACCTGTGTGTCCTGGCTCTGTCTTAGACATGTCAGGGAGAGGACCTGCCCTTCCTTCCAGCCCTCGACATCTCCCCCGAAGACCAGAAAACTCAGGACAAACCGCACCCAAAGCCGTGGAATGGAAAACACATTGTTTGAGAAAACACTGAGAAGCAGTTTTCCAGTTCATTTAACCTTAAAGCCCAGATTATATGGGGTCTTATATGATTCCGGTCAAACGCACCAGGAAATTGGCCTGGTACCCTCCGTCAAAGGCAATCACAAGAGATGGATTCTAAACACAACCGTAAATTGAAGCCGGGTTACAATTCAAGTTGTCCGAGATGAGCACTTGGGCTTGGAGGAGCTGGTGGAGCCCAGCACAGCTCCGGAGAGGCTGCTAGGATGGGGTAGGCCATGGGCCTCCGATGGTGGAATGCCGCTAACTGCTCCTGTTTGCAAAGTCCACGTGACAGCACATTTGCACCCTTAGGCCTGCCCACCCACTGCCTGTGAGAACACAGCATTTACTCATCCGGCAGCTTTCTGAACCCTCTCTCTACACAAGGCACGTGCGCTGCGAGTGGAAAGGACAGTAACGTACCCTCGGAAACTCCCAAGGTTAACTCTTGAACCCGATGGTACCTGTTCCCTACGGTCCACCAAGGACTGAGCCTGCACGGCTCTTCTGCTTCTGTCCCCTTTGAAGCTCCTGCTTGGTAACTACACAGTGACGGCCCATCTCAGCCACCTCCCGGGTCCGCTCTGAGGATTGACTGAGAAGGTGCCCTGTCAGCGCCGATCGCGTCACAGACAAGGTAGACATGACTTGGGGTGGATATTTCCTGCTCACAATAATTGCTTGGTAGACCCTGAGCCTAAGTCAAAATAAAGGGCTTAAGAAAAACATGACTATCCAGGTGGTGTGGTGGTTAAGGCAGCTGGGTTCCACATGGCCGACTGCACAGGTCGAGTCCCAGATCTGGCAGCTTGAAAATTACACAGGACATGATATGTGTGCATGTCCAAAATTCTGAGAGAAGACTGGAAGAGAGGGGATTGCATCATGGCCTTCCCTCCTGAGGCATCTCTCTCTCTCTCTCTTTCTCTCTCCAGCAAGTGTATGTGTCCTATAGCAAAAACTAAATTAAAAAAAAAATTCAAGATTAGTAAAGGGAGGGACCAGCTAGTGGCATGGTGGTTAAGGCTCTGGACACTCCCACATGGCCGACCATGGTTCGAGTCCCCGATCTGGTGGCTTGCGTTTTGTCTCTCTGTGTCTCCTTCTGGTCAAATTAAAATAAATGAGTGAATAAATAAAATTAAAGAAAAAATAATTCTTAAAAAAAAAAGATTACTAATGGAAAGTGAAAGTCTCATACTTGTTTTAAAGAACCTGTTCTTTCATGGCTGAATTTAAATGCACCAGGAAAAAAATGATAATGAACCTTTGGTAAATATTTTCCCTCTAATTGTTTTCTCGTGTGTCATCTTTCATAGTCTAATTACAAACCATATCACTGCCTGCTTGCCATCTGCCAACTAGTTATCTAGAACATTAAACTGACAGAATATTGATCTTGTGAGCATGAAGTTAAATCTGAATGTAATTAATTATTTGAATAAAATCTTGGTCTAGATAAGCAACTTCAGTGTCTTGAAAACTCAGAGCACCGTGGTATTAAAGGGTGTTCATAAAAGTCAATCTTGTCATGAGGCAAGGCAACATCAAATGATATCTGTCTTAATTATTTTCAGTTTTGGCCATATGGTACATGCTCTCACTGGGGGGGAGGGAGAGAAAGTGATAATGAGAGAGAAAGTGAGAAATTACCCCCCAGGGATGGCCACACCACAGCCCCTTGTCCTCCTGGGATTTTGGACACGCACATATGTGTGCTCAGCATGATTTTTAAGACTCCATGTATGGGACTTGAACCTCCATGGACCATGTGGGAATCCAGTGTCTTACCTACCATGCCATCATTGCCACACCCAATATTTGTCTTACTTTTTAAAATCTCCAGAGAGCATTAGTCTTAGACATCAAGTGGTGTGATTAATTTGCTAGGAGAGCTACTTAAACATGATGCACCCCAATCCCAACCTGGCTCTCAGTGCTTCTCAATGAGAAAGTGACGTTTTACTGAATAGAAGAGGAAGGTGAGGAATGAGAAATGTGGAACGGCCCCCTACAATATAGAAACCTCATAAGGCCCCTTACCCACATATCTTCAGTAACAGAAATACTGAAACAAAGAACTGCTTAATTTGTTTTCTACCCAACAAAAATCTATTAAAAAATTGGGCCTGCTTGGTGTGCAGCAGAACACTGGTCTAGCTAAGCTGGAGCCATATGGGAGGCAGGAAGACAGGGCATTCAGTTCCCGGGTCAACCTGTACATGCTAAACACATGTGCCAGTTATTCTGGCTCGCTGGGGAGGCTGGGAAGGGATTGGGCCATGAGACCCTATTCAGGGTACTGCTCTCTCTCTGTCTCTCCCTCTCATGAAATAAACTAAAAAATTTATTATTTATTTATTATTTTTTAAAGAGAAATTTCTTGCTATAGGGTATGTACACCTACCAGAGAGACAGAGAGATTTTGGAAAGAGAAAAAGTAAGAAATCACCCCCTGGGCGATTGGCCATGCCACAATCCCTTCTCTTCCATTCTCCTCTCGGGATTTTGGGCACGCATGTATATGCACCCAGCATTGAGTTTTAAGCCACCAGGTTTGGGACTCGAACCAATCTACGGTTAACTACATGGGAGTCCAGTAATGTAACCAATATGCCATCTGCTGGTCCCTAAAAATTTATTACAAATAAAATAAAATAAATAAAATAATTTTTTTTAAGGAAAAAAGGGAGCTGACAGGTGATGTAGTGGTTAAGATACTGGACTCCCACATGGTCGACCAAGGTTCGAGTCCTGGACCTGGTGGCTTGCTTTCTCACTTTCCCTTTCTCTCTCTGTCTCTCTCTGGTATACTTAAAAATAATAACAAATAAAATTAAATAAAATAATTCTTTAAAAATTATTAATTTTTTCGGCAGGTGGGATGGTGGTTAAGGATGCTGGACTCCCATATGGCCGGCCACAGTTTGAGTCCCGGACCTGGCGGGTTTCTTTCTTCTCTCGCTCTCACTCTGTCCCTCTCTGGTCAAATTAAAATAAATAAAGTTAAAGTAATTATTTTTAAAAATTATTAATTTATTTTTCCCCTAAGCTAGCAGAGGACATAGCAGTTAAGGTGCTAGATCTCACATGGCCAGTTTTGTAGTTCAAGTCCCAGACCTGGTGGTTTGAGACTCACACTACGCGTGTGTGCATGCATGCTCAAAATCCCCAGAGGAGTGAAGGATAAAGGACTGTAGCATTGCCATGCCCCCTAGGGTGTGGCTTCTCACTCTCTCCACCCCCATCTCTCACTGGTGAGCACATACATCCTATAGCAAAAAAAATTTTTTTCCACGTAATTTTGATAATACTAACAAATGCTTCACACAAAAATGACTCCATTCCCTCGACTGTAATGCTCTTTGAGGCTCTTTATCTCTTCATCTCCATCACCAAGGACAAGGTCTGGCCCATGAAAGGCCCTCCGTAAGTATTAATCTCCTCCTTTTCTCTCTTCCATTTTCCCCAGCTCTCTTTCATAACCTCTAAATAATCGTGGCATTTGATATTGTCTGACAATGGTCTCTGAGCTATGGCCGAGTCCACGAGATAAAGTACCATGTCCTGTTCACTGCAATTTAGTTCCTTGGTAGTGGCCACTTACCTTAAGGACAGCTTCAGTGATACCCCAGGAGAAGTCACAGGGAAACTGACCCTGCACGTCTGCAGTGGACTCCTTGAACGTAAAGCCGTTTTCTTGTATGATCTGCTTATAGTAATGCGCCGAAGACTTGGGTTTCCTTTCTTTCTGCGTACTATTAAAGTCGACATAAAACAGTCCGCGGCGGATGGCGTAAGCATCCTGCCATTCAAAGCCGTCCAAGAGCGACCAGGCGGTGTAACCAAACACTTGGACGCCGTCAAACCTGATCGCTGCACAGAGAGCAGAGAGCAGAGACGTTCAGAGATCTAAACACTCGTCCATGCTCACAGTTTCCCTGACAGCATGCCAGGGGACAGCAGATTGGGAAACCAACCTTTCCCCTACTTTGCAGGCCCATTTTATCAAGCAGAGAATTCATGTTTACACTTGAAAAGTGGCAGTTATTTTCATCCCGAATGTACCTTCCCACCCCCAACAGCGAGCGAATGACACAGTGAAAGGATCCACTTAAAACCATTCCTGGGGATTGCGGTGTGGCCATCCTCCCTGGGGGGTGATTTCTCGCTTTCTGTCTCTCTGTCTCTCTCTGTCTGTCTGGCGAGCGCATGCGCCCTATAGCAAAAACCT